GTGTGGGGGTGTGGGGGTGTGGGGGGGTGTGGGGGTGTGGGGGTGTGGGGGTGTGGGGGTGTGGGGGTGTGGGTGGGTGGGTGGGTGGGTGGGTGGGTGGGGTGTGCGCGTGCGGGTGCGTGTGCGTGCGGGCTGGTGCGCGTGCGCGTGCGCTTGCATGCGTGCGTGTGCGTGCACGTGTGATCCATTAGCAACGAAGCTCACACGATCATACCACTTCCTCCGAAAAAAGTTTGCTAAGTGACCCCGGGACCAGCTATTGGTCCGGATTTCGGTCGGACAGACGTGTCCGCATCTAAATTTGACACTTATTTGCAAATTCGGGGCTGCGGGCTTCATCACAAGATGCTAGCTACCAGAACATGTATTTTTGAATTCATGCCGGATGACTTCTGAGTCGGGTTTGCTGTTGAAGCCCGGCCCAACACCCATGCCCATAAGAGTGATTCTAATCTGGTAGCAGCCCCTCCTGTCGGAAAAATCAAGCGCTCTTTGAATCTCAAGGCTTTTTGCTGCTCGTGCTCAGCTGTTTGGCTTCTCTCTATCACTTGCTGCAGCTTGGCCTCTTTCAGACCACGCGTCGCTAGCCCCCGAGCATACTACCAAGCACCGTGAAGGTTATCACGAACAACTCTAGAGCGTGTGCGGGCACTCGAGAGGGGTTCTGCAGCTTATGCACTTGTGGTGCGCTCGGTTGCAGCCAGTCCATGGTCAAGGAACCGGTAAGCCTACTAGACCAAACCGCCAGGTCGAGGTTGCCCAGAAGCCCTTGTAAGAGTTCCCCGATGAAGAACGTAGTGCCAAGAGAAAGAGAAGAACGCCTTGAATTAGCAGGAATGCCCTGTATAAGATCCCAACCTAACCTGAAACCTAGCCTCCCATGTTGCGAAGCTTTGGGAGCTTTACATAGACTGTTGGGGAAGTAGAGACCCAGGCACATGTCATTTCGTTTTGCTATCCAGACATTGGTGAGTCGAGGTTTCAGCCGTGCACAAGCTGCTTTCACAAGCGACCACCAAGTGGCACGGATGCACAGAGTGATTTGACTTTGGCGCGGTGCCGCCTCCATAGCAAACACGTAGGTGCTGTCAATACCCAGTTGTCGAAACAAACCCTGAACCCCCTAGACTCCCTGAGCCCTTCGACGAAGAGCCTGGGGCCTACGAGAGCTTTGCTACTTGAGTGTTCACCGGCAAAGGTTTTCAGACGCTTTCTCTTGCACTGCTGCAGTGGTCAGCACCTACTTCACTTTGGCAAGATTTCTGGTTCTGCAGGGCCGGTTACGGAGGGCGCTTGCCTTCCTTCACCTTGGCTTCATTTTTGTTCGAGACCGTGGCTTCAGCGAATGCTCAACTTGGCCCGCTGCTGGTTGGGATGTCATGCTGGCCGGCAGGTCGTTGACTGAGAGAGTCCGCCTGCTAGATGACGAGTCTGTTCTCAAGCTGGAGCCTGCCCACCGAGTCGAAGGTCTTCGCATCGCCGTTGTCACTATCTGTGCATATGCAGCAGATGCCCCTGTGCGTGTTCTGTGCGAGCAAAACCGCCAAATCTACAAGGCGCTGCACGGCTATGACCTCTATTTTGTCACGGACGCCGCGCAGATTCTGCCGAACAAGGCGGCCCGCATGAATGTGAAAGACGGAATTCACAAACCCTTCTTCTGGAAAGTGATGCTCGGTTTTCCGTCCAAAGCTTTCTATATTCAGCGGACAGTCGTATTCATGCTGCTTGTACATCTGAATACTAGCACGGTACTGATTACTCGATGCTCGGAACTTGAATCTCAGGAATGCTGTGAAGAATATCCTTGACACGAACAAGTATGACTGGGTACTTTGGATGGACTGCGATGCATTTTTCATGGATCCAGGAGCACCCGTGTCATGTAGGAGGATGTGTGGGGCTTGCGGGTCAAGGTTGTGATGTGTGCCACCATAACTTTCAGCTAGCCCGAAACCCCAGAATCTCAAAGTTGACAAGACCTCACCCAGCTCCTCGACGGCCATGTAGGTCTTCTCTGTTGCCTGCCATCTCTATGCGGTAGACCCGAAGCCAGGCCGCACCATCGATTCCGTGATAACCATGTACAGTGGCAACTTAACCTCGGCCTCGCGGCTCCCTCCTCCCAGCTGCCTGGCTTTCTCAGCTTTGAACTTTAACGGGATCAGTGTTGATGGATATTTGTTCAGTTCCCTCGAGGTGTCTTTCTTGTAGAAAGGCTGGAGTAAGATAGCTGACTTTGCTGAACAACGAAAGACCGAAAGAGAAATGAGGTAAAGAATTGTGCCAGCATTGATTGGTTACGGACTATCGCAGCAGTAGTACTCGTCGTCGTGGTAATAGTAGTAGTAGTAGTAGTAGTCGTCGTCGTCGTAATAGTAGTAGCAGTTGCTGTTGCTGTAGTAGCAGTAGTACTAGTAGTAGTACTAGTAGTAGTACTAGTAGTAGTACTAG